CAGGTGTGTCCCTTGGGGCAGGGAGGGGGGACCCCTTAGGAATGCCCCAGTGGTGAGCTCACCCAGACGCCCACCAATGGACTCCTGCCCTCACAGCTGCTAAACCAGGTGCTGAACCGGGTGACGGCGGAGAGGAACCTGTTTGACCGCGTGGTCACCCTGCGGCTGCCTGGTGAGGATCCAGTGCTCTTCACCCAGCATATCCCAGGTTTCAGTTCCCCCGCTGGGAGCCGTGATGCCTGATTGTCCATCCTGCATCAGGACACCCAGGCCTGGCACCCCCATCCTTAGCCTGCCCTTCTGTTGGGGAGGATGATGGGGCGGGGGCTGGTGCTAGCCAGGCGGGCCCTGACCCCATGGTAGGAGCGTGCGGCAGCTCTTTCCTTCCTCCTTCCCCCCAGGCCTGGAGAGCGTGGACCATTACCCCATTCTGGTTGCTGTGACGGGCATCCTGGTGCGACTCCTGGTGCACGGCCCGGCCTCAGGGTGAGTGTTAGGCGCCTGGGCCCTCGGGAGCTGGTGTGGCTGATGGGAGTGGGCCGGCCAGGGCCTCGGGCCGCTGTCTCTTCAACTCTACAGTGAACCTTGGCGTCAGGTTTCTGAGGCGGGGTGGGGGGAGTGGGGGGGCACAGAGGCAGTGAGGCATACACACTCTCTAACTAGGTGGCAGCAGCCGTGGCTCGGAGTAGAAGACTCGGGGACCTCACAAGCTTGCGGTTATGCTTCAGGCAGGGGTGGGTTGCTGTCGTGCGGTGTAGGGAGGCCACTGCTGGGATCAGGGGCTGAGGACACGCACTGCTACTTGTGTTCACAAAGGTTCCGGTAATGAGCATGTACCGCCTTTATTAAGGAACTCCATGACAACTGGATCCTGGATGCTTGTAGGAGCCCCCAGCTTAACACACACACAGGAGGGGTTCCAGACCCCTCTTCCCTGACTCCCTGCGGTGGGTGGTAAGATGCGTATAAGACCAGGGCACTGCCGCAGCCACTACACTGAGACCAGTGCCAGCCCTTAAGAGGTTTCTACCCTCCAGGGATAGCGAGTTCCGGCTCAGCCCTCCCATCTTGGCCATGCTCAGCAGGCTTTTTACTGCTGAAAAGCTGGGGGACAGGCCATGGTGCCCCTTATTGCTGTCTGGTGAGCCCATGGGAAGAGGCCCTGTCCTCAGAGTGGCCTGTGGAGGTCTCTGGCCAGAGGGAGGGGCTGCTCTGGCTGGGGCTCAGGCCAGGCCCACTGGGGGGGCTCTCTTGAAGAGCCTTGCCTGCTTTCTGCCTGCCCACCAGACTGCATGGAGTTGTGAAGCTTGAAGGAGTTTGGATGTTGGTACGTGTTTCCTCCTTCCGCTCTGGGTGGGGGTCTAGGTCTTTGGAGCGCTCCTTCTCCTCCCCATGGGCCCACTCTCTTCCTGTCCCGTTGGGAAAGGGGAGATGGTTATGTTTCAGTTCTTCGCCATGACTGTGTGATAGCTTCTGGGCCCCTAAGGGTGTGCCTTGGGCTCTAACGCAAGGGCTCTTCCAGATGGCCCCAGTTCCAGGCCTTGTGCGACATTTGGGCACCAGCAGGTGAGGACCTATGGCCTTTGGGCCCTGTGTGAGAGCAGAGCAGGAGACAGGATAGGGAGCCCAGCCCTTCCTTCAGTGAGTGGGGCTGATGTAGTTGAGGTTGAGGCCACACGGGAGGCTGGAGGACTAAGCCCAGCGCTCCCACTAGCATCTGGCAGTTTTCCAGGCGGCAGCAGGGAGCAGGGCAAGCGGTGGGTGGTTGATGGCCTGGCTCTGAGCCCAGGGCAGCCTAGGTCATCACCAGACCCTCAGAGCCCGTGGAGCTAGCGGACTCAGAGCCAGCCTGGAGCCGCAGGCCCATGGGATTGTAGAGATCAAAGTCCTCAGCTACGGCCAGCTGCACACGCCCATTGAGGCCCCTCCTGCCCGGCTCCAGAAAGACCACATGCTTGTGGACACTGGCCTTGCGGCTGGGCGCATCGGGCGGGGTGGTGCTGAGCACCGAAGAGGACTGCGCGCTCAGGTCCTGGAGGGGACTGGGTGCCCAGGGCCACCGGCGGCGGCAGCAGCGGCAGGTGCGGCGGTAACAGCGGCGGCAGCCAGGGCAGGGCGGTGCGAACAGATAGAGCAGCACGAGCACCAGGCCCGCGGCACAGCCCAGGAGGGTGGTGAAGCCTGTGTTGAAAGCCTCGGGCTCGGGGCGCGGGGAGTGCACGCTCACGTTGTACTCGTGCGTCTGGTTGTGGTGCAAGTGGGGCCCCACGGCCAGGCACACGAAGAGTCCCTCGTGCCGCGGCTGCACGTTGCTGATGGCCAAGCTGCCGTCTGCCAGCACAGCGATGCTGCCGTCTTGGGACCCCGGGGCCACCAGCAGCTCCTGCTTTGGGGACACCCATGCGACACGCAGAGCAGGGATGCTGGTGTTGCAGCGTAGCCTCAGGGACCGACCCATCTGCACGTGCAGCTGCTCCTCTGGCCGCTCCAGGCCCTGAGCCAGGGCGGTTGAGCAGTTCTCGAAGACCCGACTGTGCTCAAAGAAGCGCACGCGGGACGCAGGCACCATGAAAGCCAGGCACGTGTACTCCCTGGCGAAGTCACTGACGGCGCTGAGGCCCCGCTGGCGCCAGCGCCGCAGCAGCTGGTAAAGGCGGCAGTCGCAGGGCAGGGGGTTGTTGTGCAAGTAAAGGCCGTTCTTCAGAAAGGCCGGCAGGGCGGCCAGGGCAGTGGCGGGGACGCGGCCCAGGCGGTTGGAGGAGAGGTCCAGCGTACGAAGGTGGGTGGCACCCAGGCCGTGGAGGTGGTGGAAAGAGAAGGAGGAGAGCTCGTTGCAGCCCAGGTAGAGCGCGCTGAGTGCGCCCAGGCCCCGGAATGCGTGCTCGTCCAAGTGCGCGAGTCGGTTATTGAACAGGAGCAGCCTCTCTAGCGCCCCCAGCCCTTCGAGGTCGTGGCGTCCCAGCACCCGCAGCTCGTTAGACGATAAGTCAAGCAGCCGTAGGCTACTGGCATTGGTGAAGACTCCGCGACCTAGCACATCCAGCTCGTTGTGGCCCAGGTGCAAGGCACGCAGTCGGGCGAGGGGCGTCAGCCACCCGGGGCGCAGGCGCTGGAGGGCGTTGTGGCTCAGGTCAAGGTCTGTGGCAGCAGCCGGCAGCGCAGCCGGCACATCCTGCAGCCCCAGGCCCGTGCAGCTTAGCAGGTCGGCGGCACACACACATTTGTAGGGGCAGTTATGGGGCGCGGAGGGCACAAAGCCCTCCACGCCCAGGCTGCCCACCCTGACGCGCGGAAGGCACAGCAGTACACCCAGCAGCACCAGCCAGGCCATAGTGGTGCCTGCTGCGGCTGGGACTGGGGCAGCTCAGTGAGGAACCCAGCACAGGGACTCACCCACTTCTGCTGGCTGTGGGCTCCGCCCCGCACACCAACGGCCCCTGCTCCCTGGCTCCAGGTCCGGATCTGGGGCCAGGCTTCCCCACAGTACTCCCTGGTCCGGCTTCCCCAGCTCTCCGAGTGCTTCCCTGCTCAGCTTCTAAATACTCTCCTGGAGGAGGGCGGGGCCTCAGCCTCCCATTGGCTCCTGTTGGGAGGAGGCGAGGCAGCCCCTCCTCCCCTCGACCAAGGTTTCCATGTGGCTGCCACAGGGGGCGCAAATCCGCCACCAGTGCCCCAAGCGGTGCTTAACCAGTGGCTTTGCGGTGCCCATCTACCCTGTTAACAGTAGGACGGGAAACCTGGGAGGCAGTGCTTTAAGCTGCTAGTGAAGTTTTTTATTGTTCTCTCTGGAGAGTTAGTGTTTATTAGGAGTAGGCGGGCTTTCGCCATCTGCTGGTCACCCCCTTAAACTGGCACCCAGGCAATAGGAGTTCTTACTGGGGTCTAGGATAAGAGACATGGGGGTGGGGGGCAGGAGGTGAAAAGCAGGGATGTGGGCTAGACTGTCCCACCATTCCCGCTTCTCCAGCAGGTACTGCTTTCTAACTATTCTTACCCCCATTCTCCCACTAGGACAGAGAGAGCCACGTCAGTGCTCCTTGCTGATCCCTGCTTCCAGCTCCGCTCTATATGTTACCTCCTGGGGCAGCCAGAGCCCCCTGCCCCTGGCACTGCCCTGCCTGCCCCTGACCGGAAGCGCTTCTCCCTGCAGAGCTGTGAGTGGGCCGGGGGTGGGTCAGGGATTTGGGGCTGGGCTAGATCAGGAGTCTCAAGAGCCAATCTCCAAGTTGTGGTGCTTAAGACGCACTGGGTTCTAGGGCCACATTGGGTCTGACACCTGCTACCACCCCCAGACACAGATTACATCAGCGCCGAGGAGCTGGCTCAGGTGGAACAGATGCTGGCACACCTGACCTCTGCGTCTGCCCAGGCAGCGGCTGCCTCCCTGGTGAGTGGGCACCACAGCACCCAGGTGTATGCCCCTGCATACATGCTGGCACAACTGTGCACGCTGTTTAGGTATAGTCTTTTGTCTGCTTGTCTGGATGACCATCCCCAGCCCACCCTGCACTCTGCTCCCTGCAGCCCACCAGCGAAGAGGACCTCTGCCCCATCTGCTATGCTCACCCCATCTCTGCTGTGTTCCAGCCCTGTGGCCATAAGTCCTGCAAGTAAGTGGGCCGCATGGGTGCAGGGAGCTGCAGAAGCAGCAAGGGTACTCAGGCCCTCTTCATCCTCCTCCCCTCCCCTGTTGTAGAGCCTGCATCAACCAGCACCTGATGAACAACAAGGACTGCTTTTTCTGCAAAGCCACCATTGTGTCTGTAGAGGACTGGGAGAAGACGGCGAGCGCCAGTACCACCACTTCCTCGGCCGCCTAGCGCACACAGCAGCAGCCTCCACCCCTGAACTCAGACCCAGGCTGGGCCCTATTTATGAGCTCCCCTTGCCCTGTTCCCATGACCCCCCTGCCATGTCCAACCCCCTTGCCTGAGTGTAACCTCACTGGCAGGAGCCCAGCCGTGTCCTAATTGTGCCTGAGCTCGACTTTTAGTCAGGGCCACAGTGAGCATTAAATTATTATTCCATACAGCCCTGACCTGGCCCTTCTTGAGGGAGTAGGCTTTGTGGGGTATGCCCAGCAAGGGTCCTGCCAGATTGTGTCCACAGGAGAGGGCAGGTGTCCCAACCCTTCAGCCTTGTCCGGTCCTCCCAGATAAACAATGAGTTCAGGGCCTTCGGATGTGTCAGGCCAGGGTGCCCCCTGCCAACAGGGAAATGAAGACTCAGCCAGCCCCCAGCATCCCCTCACATGATGATGCGAGGTTCCGGCACCGACTCGCCGATAGATTTGTGGGGCAGCACGCTGGCCCCATTGAGGTAGAGTTCGTCGTTAACGATGACATCTTCGCCCAGCACCGTCACGTTCTCCATGCGCACCTCGGGGGGGAGGGGGCGTGCCTGGTCAGTGGGGCAAGACGCCTTCCCTGCCCCTCCCACACCCGGCCCAGCCCCCAGGCTTACCCACTGGCCCACGCGGCAGCGCCAGCCCACAATGCAGGACTCGAGCCAGGAGTGGGAGCAGATGCGGGCACCCCGCAGCACCGTGCACCGCCGGATGCACACACCATCTTCTACCACCACACCAGGGCCCAGGCTCACATTGGGGCCAATGCTACAGTTGCGGCCGATGTGGGCACTCGGGTCCTAAGGACCATGGGGAGAACACAAGTGAGGCACTCCTCTCCCAAGCCTGAGGGGGCGCAGAGGATGGGCTGGGCAGGGTGCTCACCACCAGCACGTTGCCCACAATGCCAGGGCCTGAGTACAGTTGCTCAGGCTGCTTCTGTCGTAGGGACTGTAGGAAGAGGCACATGCCGGTGAGGAAATCCTTGGGCTGCCCTATATCCATCCAGAAGCCTGTTGGGAGGAAATGCATCAGGGGGCTCAGCCGGGCCACACCACACCCCTACCCTGTGGCCTCCCTGCCTCACCCTGCAGCTCCATGGCATATAGCTGCCCCTCCTTGGCCATGACAGGGAAGATCTCCTTCTCAATGGATGTAGGCTGCAGCTGTGGGAGTGGGCAGCTTGTGAGCAGGGTCGTGGGTGGGGACACTACCCGAGCCCGCCCCACAGCTCGCTTCTACACACCTGGATACGCCGCAGCACCGCGGGGCTCAGGATGTACATTCCTGCGTTGATCTTGTTGGACACAAACACCTGTGGCTTTTCCACGAACCGGTGAATGCGGCCTGTGTCAGCCTCACATACCACCACACCATACTTCGAGGGTTCCTCCACTTTGGTCACCTGAGCGGAGGAGGACCTCAGGCCCAGTCTGGGGGGCTGTGCCCCAATGCTTAAAGACACATACTGTACAGCTTTGCACCCATGACCCAATGGGACAGTTAAAGACTGGGCAGTGGGAAAGCCTGGGCAAGGGGCACAGGAGTGTCAGAGAAGAAAGACCTGATCCCTTACCAGAATGGAGCCCTCCTGGCCGTGGTGCCGGTGGAACTGCACCATGGCTTGGAAGGGGAAATCACAGATCACGTCACTGTTGAGGACGAAGAAAGGGTCTGCAGTCTCAGAGAGCAAGTCACGGGCAAGTGCCAGGGGCCCAGCTAGAAAAGAAGTACCCGATCACCATCTTCCTGGAGGCGGGTGGGGAGGGTTTGAGCTCACTCAGGAGACCCCAGCCAGGCTGGGTCTTACCCCTTCCCAGGCCCTAGACCCTCCCCAAGGGACCTTTACTAACCTGTCCCCAGAGGCTCTTCTTCATGGGACATGGAGATTCGGATTCCCAGCTGGAAGGGAGAAACCGCGTGTCAGGTTCCTCCCACCAGGGTGGGTGGTTTCGCGGGGAGCAAAGAGAAAGGTCAAAAGTCCGAGCCTCACCCTCTGCTCCTGCGCCTTCATTTCCTTCTCCAGCACCTGAGACATGTAGCTCACGGCCAGAATCACGTGGTCCACGCCTGCCTGTTGGACAAAACAGCGCCCGCCGACAGAAGGGCTCAGCCGTAAGGTACGGGCGTTCGCGAACCCCAAGTGCTAGCCGTCCCTCTTCCTGCCAGGTCCCACCACAACACCGACCCCTCGGGGTCTTACCGCGGCCAGCGCCTCCACTTGGTGCAGCAAGATGGGCTTATTGCAGAAATCCACCAGTGGCTTCGGGATGCTCAGCGTCAGCGGCCGCAGACGCGTCCCATAGCCGCCCACCAAGATCAGTGCCTTCATCGCGCCTGCGGGCGGCCGGAGAGTGAATCCGGGGCTCCGCGGCCCGGCCCGCCAGGCGGAGCCCTGCCACACACTCCCGCCGCCATGCCCGGCCCCACGCCCTTCGCCTGCCAGACTGACCCACTCTGGCTCTGCCTTGGCCGCCCAGTTCACTCCGACGCCTGCCCGGGGCAGCACACAGCAGTACGCGACGAGAGACGGAGGGCGGCTGGCCCAGAAATCAGGCCGGACCTAGGCGGGCGGTGACGTAAGCCCGGGCCGGCCAATCCGCTGCCGTTTACGTGGCACGGACGCCGACGTCGGAGCGCTGAAACGCAGCGCTCCGGCAGACGTAGCCAATAAGAGGCCGGGCGCGCCCGGCTGCCATGGGGACCGGGCCCCGGGCCCGCGGGTCAGCTAACCATTGGCGGATCCAAAGGCGGAACTGGCGCCAAGGGCGAGGCTTCCTTCCCGACGGGTGCCGGGGTCGGCCGCCAGACGGCCGCTTCCGGCCCCGCCCCGGAGGGACGGGAGCCGTGGTGGGGCAGGGCGTGTGTCCTGGAAGTCGCAGGACAGCGAAGACGCGGACACACCTCAGTTTCTAGCGGCTTTATTTTGACATAACACGACCTTAGACACAAGCGGGGCGGGCAGCGCTAGGTGCACAGAAAGGGGCGACCCGGTCCAAGGCCCGAGCACCCATCCCCCGCACGCAAGGTCCCGAGGAGACGCGGGTGGCCCAGCTGAGGCCGGAGCCGAGAGTGGAAGGGGGCGCAGGCCTCGGGCGATGTGGGCAGGTTTAGGAGACTTCCAGGAAAGTAAAGTAGAGAGCGATTCCTAGAGGCGAGGCCTCACAGTTCCCCGAGAAGTAAAGGAACCAGGTCGTTCCCAGGGTGCTCCATTATTTCCTCATTAAAACTTTTTTTTAATCGGCAATAACAGAACCAAATTGAACAGCTTTAAAGTTCCAAGCAATCTGCATCTAGGGGGCGTGCACGTGGCTAGGTGTGTGCGAGTGAGCAGCGGCTACAGAACTAGCCCAGGCCTTTGGCCCCTGGGGCAAACCCTACATCCACTGCACAGGCCCCAGTGTGAGGGAGGGGTGGGGTCCCTGGCAAGCTGCTACACTGGTCCCCTTCCTCGTTAAGCACCGCCGGTCCCACCCCCCACTAGCCCAGGGGGCTGGTGTCGACTTGGCCCAGGGAAGCACTAGAGAGAGGGGTCACTTGAGCGCCCCAACCCGTGATCCCGCGTTGCACTTTGGTCCCAAGTTGGGGTTTGGGAAGGCAGAGCCTGGCAGGGACAGGGCTCTCTGTCAAGGAGCGGGCAAAAAGAGTAGAGGCAGTGTGTGTGTGTGTGTGTGTGTGTGCCCACCACCCACCAGATAACAGAGCTGGGTCTCCAAATATCAAAAGTGCTGAAAAAAGGGTTCCTGCCCTGATGGAGCAGCAGCGAATCTCAGGCCCTTCTGCTCTTTTTAGTGCCAGGAAAACACTGGATAGTGGATATAGTCTCTCTCACTATGAAGAGCAGAACAAGGCAGCATCTGCTCCCAAAACATAGGAACTCAGGAGGCACAGCATATCCCCAGGCTGGAGAGGTTCAACTAAAGGGGGTCCCATGTGGCCCCTGACTCTGTCTTAGCCTCTGCCCTGCCAGGAAATTACAGTCTACACAAATGAAGAGCCACCACCCCTATGGCTGAAGCCACAGAATGGTACAGGAAAAATGGTCGTTACTGACCAGAAACAGGCAAGCTGTCCCTCCCAGCCCCAAGGAATGGGAACCTGCCCACCACTGGCACCAGGATCAGAGGGCCGAGAGAGAGATGGGATCCATCAAGGAGCCCATTTAAAATGTGTGAAGCTGCATCTCTAATGACTCGGAAAGTAGTCCACCAGTTCCAAGGCCTCTTAGGCTGGCAGGCTTACCTTTAATGCCCAAACAAAAACATGCCTGAAGTGACAATGACAGTGGCCCTAGGCTCAGAGGTGAGGGCACTAACCTTGGCAATGGCTAGATGAGTACAGTGTCACCTCCTGGCCACATGTTCGAGGTGGCAGATGTCTGTGCCATTAGGGCCAGTGGCAAAAATGATTAAAACCACCAGAAAGGTCACCCCTTGGGCCTTCACTGTACCAATGTCAGCATGGAGCAGGGCTACACGCCAGGCCCACAGAGAAGGTGCTGGGCCATCCGGGAAACACCGCCTACAATTCACTTGCTACCAGTTCTTTGTAAAAAGGTAGCACCCCTTGACAACAGGTACAGGGGCAAAAGCTCACCTCAGAAATGGCATGACACAAATCAGTACTTACTAATGAACAAGGCTACAGCCCAGGAAAAAGATCCTAAGAGACAAGGGCTGGCAGATGGACAAATGGACAGACTGATGGATCCCAGGACTGATGAGACCAAACTCATTAGCAGAATCTGGACACCTGCAACCCAAGGTCCAAACGATGTCCCTATGAGCCCACAAGCTTTAAGCTCTCCCTCACAAGGCTGGAGCTCCTCACCATGGGCTGCTGCCTTGAGCTTAGCCTGGGGAAAGGTGACACCCTGAGCGGACCACAGCCCTTGAGCCCTGGGAAGGGCAGCCCATCCAGAGGCAGCACAGCTGCCCAAGCTAGAGGAAGGAATCTCCCACCCACAGCACAAGAACTGCAAATACTGTCTAGGCCAGAGCCACCGGAGGCCCTGACGCCTGCTGGGACACTGATTCTCCTCGGCAAACAGAGCAGGTACCCTTCAGTGGGGCAAGAAGGAGTGGCCACCTCAGGCAAGGGATCTTGCTAATAAGAAAGGCTGGCTGGGGTGTGCAGGCAGGAAGAGGAGCAGGTTCAAGTGCCAAAGAGTGCCTGGGGATCCCAGGGCCTGCCCTCTGCCATAAGCTGGTTTCAGCCCAGCTTCCTCACGCCAAGGTCAGAACCGAGGACGGGTCCAGCAATGTGCAATTGGCCCTGTGCTACCCGGGGGGCATGTGTTAAAAAGCTGGCTGAGGCCCATGCCACCAGACTACAAAGTCCCCCAATAGATGGGCACCCAGTCCTCTATTGGTAAGGAACAAGGGATGAGTGAGCACAGAGGGGCTCTGCACCAGCCCAGGGCTTCACCCTAAAACCAGCAAGGCCCTGCAGCCACAGATGCCAAAGACCTAGGCAACAGAAACCAATGTCCAAGGGTACCCTGTCCCTGCTGCCAGGCCCATCCACCATCCATCTTCCTAAGTCAGCCTGGACACAGCAGTCAGAGCCATAGAGCTAAAGGAGCCTGGCTGAGAGGATGTGTGTTGTGCCCTCCTTCACTTTATATATATGGATTCCAGGCTACAGCTAAAAACATTTCTTTTAGTTTACACCAAAGAGAAATATAACCCTTTAAAACCAAGTCTGTGCGTCCTCACGGCGAGTTCAGTCAGAGCAATGGTCCCTGCCTGCGGGTGGAGAGGAAGGGGTTCTGGGGGCCCAGGGCTGGGCCTACTGGTTCTCGTCCCGCATCTGTTCCATGATGCTGATGAGGTTCTCTAGGCCGAACACATAGCCTCGGTCCGGCCCGTCATGCACGGTGGGGTCATCCCGGAAGCCCTTGAACGTGCTGTGTGCAAAGTCGATCATGCGGACATCCACCTTGGGTGGAGAGGAGGGGCCAGCCTCAGGGCTGGTGCTACTGGGGCTGGTGCTGGGACCACAGGGCGGCACCCCCTCAGAGAACCCTGTATCCAGGTGCTTGAGACGCATCTCTGCCCGGCGGTCCAGGAAGGACTCTGCCCGGCACTCCCTGCCATCATAGATGACAAGCAGGGAGCTAGAGTAGAAGCGGTAGGAGGCCTGCCGCTCCAGCACAGCTTTCAGGCCCCGCAGTTTGCTCAGGATGGGCTCAAAAAGGTCACGCCTCAGGTCCAGGCCGTTGTGCAGGTACTGATAGAGGGCGTTGCGGAAGCCTTCAATGGAGAGCCCTCGGCCATAGTACTTGTTCCTGCAGAGGTAATGCCCTGTATCCAGCTGGTACACCTGAAAGCCCAGGAGACAGAGCGGGTGAGCACCAGGAGTCTGAAGGTCTGATGACCTTCAAGTGCCCTGGGCAGGCACTGTCTGGAAAGTACTGACCAGTCTGACTCATCCCATGTCAAGGCAACAGGCTCTCACAGAGGCTCTGGATCTGGAGCCCAGACTAAGGTCAAAGGGCAAGGCCAAGACGGGTCAGGGAACCCTGTGGAGGCTCCTGGGACTCACCCTCTCGGAGGAGATTCTGGACCACTGTGGGCCAGGAGGACACCTGGCAGGGGGAGCAGGCAGGTACTCGGGCCACCCAAGCCCCACAGGCGGCGGCAACGAGGCTCTCACCAGGGGCAACTCACCTGCATGCCACAGACCCTGACACCCAGTGAGGCTGACGTACTCTGCTCGCACTTTCTCATCTGTCGGGCCGCCTTCTCCGCGGACGCGTCATCCCCGTGCTGCCTGGTGCCCATCTTCAGGTCCAGCACACAGGGGTACTTGAAGTGGTGCACCACGTTCTCAAGCAAGAGGAACTCTGGGCCATGGTCAAGGAGAGTAACAGCCACACTCACCACCAGCCCCAGCCAGGAAACCATGACCAAATTTTTCTATTAAAGGGGGCATTCTCTTCTAATGTGATCTGTATTCACCTCACAAACTCTCAAATGTAGATATCACACCACTGGCTTATTCCTTCTTTTCAAAAATTTTTTATTGTAGCAAAATATACATAACATAAAGTTTACCATTTTTACTACATTTAACTGTACAGGTTTAGTGGCATGAAGTACACTCACATAACTGTGCAACCACCATCACCAGAACTTTTTCATCTTCCCAAACAAAAACTAGAAACTGTACCCACCTCTCCCATTCCTCTTCACACCCCCAACCCCAATAACTACCTTTCTATTTTCTGTCTCTAAGAATACAACTATTCTAGACACTTCATATTTGTCCTTTTGTGTCTGGCCATTTCACTTAGTAAAAATGTTTTCAAGTTTTATCCAATTTGTGTGTAGCATGTGACAAAATTTCATTCATATATATGGCTGAAAAATATTCTGTGAGATATATATATATATATATATATATATATATATATATATGCCAAATCTACTGATACCATCAATTTTATTCTGTTTTATTCTGTCCTGCAGGCACACACAAACTAAAGAAGACCTGGCAGATTCGCATATATCCCTGGCACCATCAGTAAACCGAGGCCCTACA